GCGCGCGTCATATCTGACGTCCTACCCCTCCCTCCCATCCCTTACCATGGCGCTGATTTTCTCTATCCGCGGACTAGTGGGTGGTGGTGCGCGTGCGTGCGTGCGTGCGGTGTGGTGCGTGGTTGGTGGTGGTGGTGGTGGTGGTGGTGGTGGTGGTGGTGGTGGTGGTGGTGGTGGTGGTGGTGGTGGTGGTGGTGGTGGTGGTGGTGGTGGTGGTGGTGGTGGTGGTGGTGGTGGTGGTGGTGGTGGTGGTGGTGGTGGTGGTGGTGGTGGTGGTGGTGGTGGTGGTGGTGGTGTGTGTGTGCGTGTGTGCATGTGCTGGCATGGCACGGGAAATGACGCCAGCGCTGCAGCGGGAGCACGAGTCGAAACGGCGGAAGCGCGGAAATGAGGCCAGCGCTGCAGCGGGAGCACGATTCGGAACGAGCGGAAGCACGGAAATGAGGCCAGCGCTGCAGCGGGAGCACGATTCGGAACGAGCGGGGCCCGAAAATGAGGCCGGCGCCTCGGCGAGAGCAGCATTTTGAAAAAAATGCAGGCGATACCCACCTCCCGAGAATCCTGTGTGTAAAAAAACAGGACGCGGGGGGGGGGTCGGCTACTTTCAGGCCGCCATCGGGGGAAGAGGGAGAGTAGTATTCATATTGAGTAATTGTGGAGGGAGGAGGAGAAGGGAGGAGGAGGGAGGAGGGATGGAGGAGGAGAAGGAGGAGGAGGGAGGAGGAGGAAGGAGGGAGGAGGAGAGGAGGGGAGGAGGAGGATGGAGGAAGGCGGGAGGAGGGAGGAGGCGGGAGGAGGAGGAGGAGGGAGGAGGGAGGAGGAGGGAGGAAGGAGGAGGGAGGAGGGAGGAGGGAGGGAGGTGTCTCTTGGCATGGGTCTCCACTGCAGCGGCTGCGCCGACGCCAGGGGCCTGCACGCGTCGCCCCCGAGCGGTGCGCGGCCGCGGGGCGCAGGACCGCAGGACCCCCCTGGGAGGCCTCAAAAAAAGGAAGCACGTCGAAAGTAGCCAGAAGCCTCGATCCTCGACCTTCGACGACGACGACGCCTTCGATCCTCGACCGACGACGACGACGACGACGACGACGACGACGACGACGACGACGACGACGACGACGACCACGACGACCACGACGACGACGGCGACGGCGACGACGACGACGACGACGGCGGCGGCGACGGCGACGAGTCTGGGCTGGCGAGTCGCGGCGCGCAGAGGCCACCAGCCGCGCGCGCTCCTCTGCAGGGACCGCCGCGTCCGCCCACTGCCGGAAATCGGGCGGCGGCCCCCCCGCGGGAGCCCACAAGGCGGGTGCGGCAGTCGGGAATCGGGCGTCGGCGGCGGAATCGATCCTCGACGATCCACGACTCAAGCAGCTCAGTGCCCAGACCCCCTCGAGTCATGAAGAGATCACGACGAAATGTTTCTCGCTACTCCCGGTCTCTGCGGGTCCTCCCTGGGCCTCAGGACCGTCAAACAACAGCACAGGACGAAAAACCGGTCCCGGGGAAGGGGTCTATGGCGGAGAAGTGAGGGGGGCGGGCGGGAGGAGGAGGAGGAGGAGGAGGAGGAGGATGAGGAGGAGGAGGAGGAGGAGGAGGAGAGGAAGGGAGGCAGGAGGGAGGAGGAGGAGGAGGAGGAGGAAGGAGGAAGATGAGAAGGAGGAGGAGGGAGGAAGGAGGAGGGATGAGGGGACCTCTGGGGGCCGCATCACGAAAAGATCATGACGTCGGGGGTCTGCGTTGGCGGCGGGGGTAGTGCTCGGAATTCGTCGAGCACGTGGCGAAGAGGGAGCCCTACCCCGCCTCCCATCGAGGAGGAGGAGGAGGAGAGGAAGGAGGAGGAGGAGGAGGAGGAGGAGGAGGAGGAGGAGGAGGAGGAGAGGAGGAGGAGGAGGAGGAGGAGGAGGAGAAGGAGGAGGAGGAGGAGGAGAAAAGAGAGGAGGAGGGAGAGGAGGAGGGAGGGGGAGAGGGAGAGGATCGATGGTTGGCGGGGGTAGGGTTCGGATGTCGCCACCCAGGGAGGGCACGGCTGGAGGAGGGGAGATCCCTGGGCGGTTCTCGAGAGCCGCGTCCTCCTTGATCCTCTCCCTCCTCCTCCCCCTTCTCTCCCTTCCCTTCCCCTTCTACTCCTCGTCGCGTTCCCCTTCACTCCCTCGTCCTCTTGCTTCCCCCTCGTCAAATCGCGAGATCCACAAACGCCTGCACACTGTGGCGACGGCGGGAGGAGGGGGGGGGCAGGAAGGGGGGAGGGGCAGGGCCAGAAGGGAGAGGAAGGTGGGCAGGAGGAGGGTGCGAGGAGGGAGAGGGGGGCCGGGCAGGAGAAGGGGGGGAGGGGAGGGGCAGGAAGGAGGGGGCGGGCCAGGAGAGAGAGTGTGGGGGGGGGGCTAGCCATCGCTCGGACGTCCATTCCCAGTTTATGTTTCGGTTTCGCGCGTCTGCTTTTCCCCAAGATGACCCAACATGCTCCTTGATGGTTTTTGTCGAACAAATGCACACGTCTGAACGATGCCAAGGGAGAGGGGGCAGGAGGAGGGGGCGGGGAGGGCATTCAACCCCGAGCCAAGCGCCGTTTGGACTCGGGAGGGATGAAGCGAAATAGGTGGTGGGAAACAAAATGGGTGGTGTGCGGGGGGTCCCTAGGACCTCCTCGTCACCCTCCTCCTTCCCCAGACTGCGTCCTCTTCCAGACTTCTCCAAGAGTCCACGCACGCGATCGCGAACAAGGCCCAGGGCGTGACTGGGACCCCCACGGCGGAACACGGCGTCGGCCCTGCCAGCTCGTAAGCGAAGTGGGCGGTGTACTCGTGCTCCTCACGGCCATGGCCAGCCCGCATCCTCCCCCTCCTCCTCCATTCCTCTTTCTTATAAATGACTTCTCCCTGTCGCATCCCGAAGCTAGTTTTGAGGGCGGGCTGGGCGTTTCGAATCCGACTTCCTCACCACTTACGACCCTGAAATTCAGGCATTGGCAACAGCTTCACAGATGGAGGGCGTGTGGTTTACAACATGTGGTTCTCGCCTTAGCGCCGCGCACATTCGCTTTGATGTGCAAGAGTTTTCCAGATTGAAAGCAACCCGTTTTCAAAATGTGGCTCTCGCCTTAGCGACGCGTGCACTCGTTGAAACAATTGCCAGAATTTCACTGATTGAGGGCGACCCGTTTCCAAATGTGGCTCTCTCCTTAGCGCCGCGTACGTTAGTTTTTGAAAATTGCAAGAGCTTCACGGATTGTGGGCGGTTCCTTTTCAAAATGTGGCTCTCGCCTTAGCGCCGCGCACATTGGTTCTCTTAACTTTGCAAGAGTTTCGCGGATACCCATGATCAGCGTACCAGAAAGGGTGTTTTGGAAGGATTCAGGGTTATGAAGGCGCAACAAATACGTTGATTCGTGGTGTTGAAGTTCCAAGAATGGCGTTCTGGCACGATTCAGGATCGTCACAGCGCAACAGTCAGGTTGACCCGTGGCGTTGGAATCCCGAGAACAATGTTTTGGCATGCTTCAGGGTCTTCAAACGGTTGTCTTCCAACGGATTAGTTCCATCAATGGAAATGAACCGTTGTAGGGGCCTATGAAGAGGGACCTTGGCGGGAGGGTTTAGTCCAACATGGTTGATGACTCTTGGGTTTACACTGGTCCTCCTCCTCCTCCTCCTCCTCAGCCCTCTTTCTTCTCCTCCTCCTCATCCTCCTTTTCCTCATCCTCCTTATTTGTCCTTCTTTCTCCTTATTTCTCCTCCTCCTCCTCCTCCTCCTCCTCATGCTCCTCCTCATCCTCATCCTCCTCATCCTCATCCTCCGCCCTATTTCTCCTCCTCGTTCTCCTCCTCCTCTTCCTCCTCCTCCTCCTCCTCCCTCCTCCTCCTCCTCACTCAGCCCTCTTTCTCCTCCTCGTCCTCCTCATCCTCCTCCTCCTACTCACAAATCGCAGCTCGCAGCAGAAAATATAAATTCGATCTGAACTTGTCTGTCTGTATACCGATCCCACTACCTGCTCAACTGACCTGCCTCGCGAGAGCGAGAGGGAGAGGGAGGCAGGAGAGTGCGAGTGGAGGGGGGATGGACAAAAATCTACAAGGCCGAACCCGCCAATGATGCTCAACGCGCTGCGCCGGAGGATGTGCCGTTTCCGCGCCCTTGGCACGCGTGCCTGCTTCTTCGTGGACTCGCAGGCGGCTGCAACGTGGGTCCCAAAGTGACAACCATGTCGAGCAACAGCTCTGAGGCGAATCAAAATATGTGCTTCCGCGGCACAAGATCGCCAGAGCCACGTCTCTCGACACCGCGCGAATCATATCAGGCAGCAAGGGATGGAACGATACAGCTCCAGAGCCGCCGCAGCCGCGGGGAAAAGAATAGTGTAGACGATGTGCCGCCGGGAAGGGTGTTCCCCCCCCCCTCCTGGAGAGAGGACGGGAGGGGGTCTTCACTTTATCACTCCGGGGCCAGCGTTAGCCGTTGGGAGGGAGGGGCGGGCGGGGGCCCCGCCCTGCTTTGGCCGATGTCGTGAGCAGGGCAGAGATGCCCGCCCTGTTATTCAAACTCCTTTGGTGTCGATCTCCGCCCTGCTTGGCCGTCGCTGTCTCCGCCGTGCTCCTACGGAAGCGGCCGACCTACGAGTGCGAGGCGGAGATTTCCGCCCTACTTTTTTCCGCATCTTGCGAGGTGCATCTCGGACAAGAAGCTTCAGATCTGAGGATCAACCAACGCACGACGGTTCCAGAGTCGGAGCCGGGACGGGGGGGGGAGGGGGCGGGGGCGACATTGGAGGCGAATAGCCCAGGGGACAACAACACACGTATCCAAGGGCGCCAATTGTTCCATGCCTTCGCGAGGCTCCTGGGCGAATGCGTGTCTTGCGCAACCCTGGGCTATTCGCTCCCCTCCTATCGTCGCCTCCGAGTGGAGGGGGGGGCCGGCAGAGGGAGGCGGGCCCGGCGCGAGTGACCCCCCCCCCAGCTCGTGGCCAGACCCTCGCGGCGATGGCGCCCCGTCCTCGTGCTTCAGGTGCCGGCCCGGGTGGCACGCGTAGCCCTGGCGCCAGGCCGACGCGGCGCCGCCATCCGCCTCTCCACGAGCGGGATGAACAGAAAGAGGAGGAGGAGGAGGAGGAGGAGGAGGAGGAGGAGGATTCAGGATTCAGCGACATGGGGAGCGAATGATATGCACATCCTCAAAACTATGCAACATCTGACTTAACAGAAAAATCGTTCAGGCACGCACTGGCATAACCTGACAGAGTTGCTCGACGACGCTCCTGCGCAGCCTCTGGAAAGCTTACTTATGCGCTGCTAGTGGGGACTCTGGCAGCAAGAGACTGCACGGGCCTGTTAGGCAGCATGCTCCGGGGAGGCACGTTGCCAGAGACAGCCGCCCGAAAAGCACCACCTCCCACGACCTTTGCGACCCCGACCCTCCGACCGAGGCTCACGACGGTGCTCAACTAAAGGATCACCACTAGCATCCCGAGCTAAAACTCTGCTCGTTGATGGTGGTGATGATGAGGAGGAGGAGGAACGGGAGGAGGAGGAGGAGGAGGAGGAGGAGGAGGAGGAGGAGGAAGAGGAGGAGGAGGAGGAGGAAGAGGAGGAGGAGGAGGAGGAGGAGGAGGAGGAGTAAGTGGAGGAGGAGGATGAGGAGGAGGAGGAGAAGGAGGAGAAGGAAGAGGAGGAGGAAGAGGAGATGGAGGCAGAGGTGGAGGTAAAGGATGAGGAGGAGGAATATGAGTAGGAGGAGGAGGAGGAATAACCATGATAAGACTTGTAGTAATAAAAAAGACAACGAAACTAATGATGCTGATAATCGTACTAATACGACAGCGGCTAATAATAACAACAATGAACATAACACTTTGGATACTAACACAAATACTTACACTAATAGCAGTCATGACAAGACTACGAAGAAGACGCGTAACATGATTAATTACAGTATGAAGAAGAAACATAGCAATTATAGCACTACAAATGATAAGAAGAGAAGGGGCAGGAGGAGGAGGACCAAGAGCTTGAGAGCATACCGGCACGAGCACCAGTTCTTCGATGCATCAGCGAGAGCGGAGCCATGATGCTTGAACATAAAGCGACATCCGACAGGTGGCAGGTCTCCTGGCCAGGACGCAGAAATCGCCAAGGGGACGCCTTCTTTCGCCCTGCTCCTCCTCCTCCTCCTCCTCCTCCTCCTCCTCCTCCTCCTCCTCCTCCTCTCCTCCTCCTCCTCCTCCTCCTCCTCCTCCTCCTCCTCCCCTCCTCCTCCTCCGCCTCCTCCTCTCCTCCTCTTCCTCCTCCTCCTCCTCCTCCTCCTCCCTCCTCCTCCTCCTCCTCCTCCTCCTCCTCCTCCTCCTCCTCTCTCCTCCTCCTCCTCCTCCTCCTCCTCCTCCTCCTCCTCCTCCTCCCCTCCTCCTCCTCCTCCCCCCTCCTCCTCCTCCTCCTCCTCCATTATTCTCTTGTCCTCCTCCTCCTCCTTCTTCTTCTCCTTCACCTCCTCCTCCCCTCCTATTCCTCCTCCTCCTCCTCCTCCTCCTCCTCCTCATCATCATCATACTTGCTCTTCTTCTTCTTCTTCCTCCTCCTCCTCCTTCTCCTCCTCCCCTCCTCCTCCTCCTCCTCCTCCTCCTCCTGCTCCCCCTCCTCCTCCTCCTCCCCCTCCTCCCCCTCCTCCTCCTCCTCCACCTCCTCCTCCTCTCCTCCTCCTCCTCCTCCTCCTCCTCCTCCTCCGTCCTCCTCCTCCTCCTCCTCCTCCTCCTCCTCCTCCTCCTCCTGCTCCCCTCCTCCTCTCCTCCTCCTCCTCCCCTCCTCCTCCTCTCCTCCTCCTCCTCCTCCTCCTCCTCCTCCTCCTCCTCCTCTCCTCCTCCTCCTCCTCCTCCTCTCCTCCTCCTCCTCCTCCTCCTCTGCCTCCTCCTCCTCCTCCTCCTCCTCCTCCTCCTCCTCCTCCTCCTCCTCCTCCTCCTCCTCCTCCTCCTCCTCCTCACCCGTCATCCTCCCCCTGTCATCCTCCCTCGCTCCCTCCCCTCTTCAATCAACTCCCCCACCCATGCAACAAGAGGGGGCGCAACCAGGCGTTGCCCCGAAAGGTGCGGGGCCGAGAGACGAGAGAGCCTCGAGCGCCAGCTTGCCGATCCAGGGGAAGGATGCTGGGCGCCGGCGTGCTTTGCCATTCGCGCCAGGCCGTTTCACAGCGAGGGTCTCACCCACGAGCCCCCCTCCCTGCCCAGCCCTCCCCTCCCGAGCAGGCTCGTGCACAGGGGAACGCCCGCATGTGGCTCGGCGGTCCGCCGAGGCCAACACTTAGGCGGCCACAAGCGAACCCGACCCCCCCCCCCGACGAAATCGTTGGGGGTGGGGGTGGGGTTCACATGTGGCCACCGAACACTTCTTGTCCTGTCACGGTGCCCCTTGGATCCAGTCGTTGTCCATGGCTTCCACTCATCGCAATTGCGCACTGCCCTCCACCTCACCAGATGAACGACGTGAGAATGTCCTGGCAATAGGACGCGGAGCCAGCCAGGCCCCGAACCGTGTAAGCTTTTTATCAGCGTGCGCACTTCTTACACAAATCGAGCCTGGGGGCCAACCGCGTACCAACTCAGCTCAAGTGAATCGGGCAAATCTCTACATCTGATGGACTCGACCGGTCCAATCGCTCCCTTTCTCAAGCGAAACCCCCATGCCAAACAGACTGAAGAACCGTTCGCCATTCGCGGACGGATGCCAGGCGTTGCAACGGCAAGAGCTTCGATGGACCCCGCATTCGCCAGCGTCGAACTGAAAGCTGCCCGATCTTGAACAGAACATGCCTGGCAGTCATAACACTGAGGAGGGGGAGGAGGAGGAGGAGGAGGAGGAGGAGGAGGAGGAGGAGGAGGAGGAGGAGCAGGAGGAGATGGAGGAGGAAGAGAAGGAGGAGGAGGAGGCGGCGGCGGCGGAACGGTGAAGGGCCGAGAGTTCGAGTCTCAAACTGCCCAGACTTCCGAGAAACTTCGGAATCTGGCGACCAACCGTGCGCTTTACAGCGAGAAAGCAGCCCCCACGGCGGGAGCCCCGAGGTGAAATCGCTCTACCTCAACTTAAATCCCAGAGTAAGCTTCGAAAAGAAAACAAAACTGGGCCTCTTCGGGCCATCATCGCGTGAACATCCTGACAAGGTCTTTGAACTGCTGTCGAGAGGGGAGGGCAGGGGCATCAGAGGAAGCAGGGAGCCTGACCTGTGAAGACCTCGTCCTGGGATGACGAACAACAGCTTGTGGCGCCTCACCTCGGGAGGCTGAAGTCGGCAACGAGGAGTTCCGACAAGAGACAATCCCAGTCTGCCTGTCTGCGCCGTTCTCAAGCTTCCCACTGGACCCAGCTGCCGTACCACTCGCAGCCGACTCTCTCAGACTCACATGCGTGTCACGCATAGCGCCACCAGCAGTCGGAACTCTGTCGCCGTCTCGAAACTCAGCTGCCATACCACTCGCAGCCAACGTCGAGTCGTGAGAGAGAACAGCACCCACTGTTGCAAAGGAGAGGTCCACCACCACCGAGCCAGAAGTCAGCATCCCAGTATCATATACTGCACTCGACATCACCCCAGAGTCTCTCAGACCAGTCCCAGTGGTGGTAGTTTGATCAATCCCTACGGATGACCGATATCCAGACTCGCTGGGGATCCGACATCCTGCATTAGTTGGTGGCTGGCGTCGGGGGCTGGCGTTGGGAGGAAGCGTTACATCCGCTCGAACTCGTCGAGCGCCAGCTGCACCGCGCGTTCGTGGTGGCTGCGTGGTGCCATCCCCACCTTGTGTTCGGCCCCGAGTTGTTCGAGGCAGGCGGTGAAGCACTTCTGGAGCTGCGGGTCGCCGAGCGAGATCACGAGCTCGGCTGTGCCCTCGCGGTAAGCTGAACTGACCCGAAACCCTCGCACTAACATCGTGAGCTCCTCCTGGTCGGTGATCGCATCTACGCGCGCCTTGTGGTTCTCCCAGCTCGCTCGATTCTTGGCCCCCAACTTGTCGCCCTCCTTGGAGATCTCGGCACATACGATCAGAAAGATCTGCGCACAGGCGGGGCCCATCACCGCCTCGGGAGTCGGGTTCGTCTGCGGGTCGGCCTGGTGCTTTTCTCTGAGAGTAGCGGCTGTCTGAGCATATGCTTTGCCCGCCTGGAAGGCGGTTCGAATCACTGGGGCGTCGTCGCTCATCGTGAACGTCTGGAACTCTGCGGCCATGATCTGGCGAAGCTGGAACGTGTTCCCGAGAACTGCACGGACGAGGACAGGCATCAACTTGGCGATAAGCTGGGCATCCATCTGTGGAAGACGGTCGAGTGTCGAAGGGTCCAGTCCGTAGAGCTTGCCTAGATCGTCGCGCACGTTGTCCCGCGGGCGGCCTCCCTGAACGCGCCCTGCGTCCGCTGGTGCCGCCGCCGCCGCCTGTGGTGGCTGCGGTCGTGCCGGTGGGGGCTGCGAGTCTCGGCGTCCTGGACGGCCTCCACGCGGACGGGAATACGCTTGCGACCCACTGCGGCCACGCCCTCGCGCACGCTGTGCCCCTGGTCCGCCGCGACCCTCGGAGCGTGACCTGGCCGCTCCCTCGAGGTGCTCTGCGGTAAGCCTGAACATCGGCCGTGCACGGGGCTGGGACGTGGGCGGCGAGGTGTCGTCGCAGCTCCTCAAAGGACTCAAAGGGCTCGTCCCTTGAGCAATAGTAAGCTGCGTCATGGCCACCGAAGATGGACGCCGTCGTAATGATGGACAGAGGGCACTGCAGGGACATGGGGGCCTCCAGAGGGTGCTGATATACGGTGGCTAGCGGGCGCTTCCTGTTGAGGACGGCGTGCAACGTATGTTCCTGGGCGATCCCTCGAGTTCTGAACGTTTGTTGGCAATACATGCACGAATTCGTCACAGTTATCGAATGTACAATAGACCGATACGAATGCCCACCTGCCCGAGAGAACCGTTGATGAGCCAGTAGGGCCCTCCGCGTTTTGAAGACACATCCACACATATGACCAGCACTGTCGACAATATCACAGACCCAAGGACACGGTAGCGGTGGAGGAGCGGGATCGTCGAGGTCAGCAGGAGCAGGGGCAGGGGCGTAGAGGCCTGGTGGAGGTGGCATGGCCACTGTCTTGGCCGCGGCCCGCAGGACACTAGGGTCCAGTCGTAGGAGACGATCTCGTACCTCTGGGTCCTCGAAGAGCGCCCGTATGTTGAGCCTGAGGGGGTCTGGTGTTGGGGCCTCGTACACGAACAGGGAGTCCAGGAGGTCGTTTTCTTCAGATCGACGCAGAAGACGGATGACATCGACTGCGAAGCGCCATGCATATGGATTGGCAGACTCGGCCAGCGTGCCGTCTGCCGTGAGAGTCGGACACGCCTCCACAGGCAGTTGCCCAAATACTGCGGCGACCTCCTGTGCATGCCGCTCGGGAAAGAGAATCCACCGACGATGCATCCGAAGTCGGCGAACTCGCAGCTCGGTGCCGCATGGTGCGATGCCGATGCGACGAAAGACGCACTCGTCCGAGTCAGCCTTGTACTGTAACTGAGGGCTGCCGTCGGGCGCTAGCAGCGGGGTGCCCAGAGCCGCATCGAGAACTGGGATCTTCTCGCAGGCGTCACCCCCGAGAATCTTGCGCGCAAAGCCCACGAGAACCTTATCAAGAGCTCTCTCCTGCGTCGTCGTTAATATCTGCGTCGTCAAGCCCGAAAGAAGACCACCCTGGACCACCGCCCCAAAGACAGTGCGAGTAAATTTCCAGACACGATTGCGAGCCCAGAACCGTCCCATCGAATAGTACCCTCGTCGACACGCGAGAATCCTCCTCCTGATCTCCACCTGAGTCCCACCATTCACTGCACTCGAAATCCCCAAAGTAATACTGTCGAAAACCACCTTGCCTGCTACTGGGACTTCCCCTGTAAACATGGCCCTGGAGTAGCATTGGGAGCCAGCTCCAACAAAAGACGGCGACACCTGGCTCTTGTCCGCGTTGTGTTCGTACCCTCCTCCCTCCTTTAGGGCCTCTCTGAGCCGTTGGTGTGAGATGTCCAGCACGCGCTGGGCGTTCAGTGCAGAGGCCACCACGTGGGTAGCGCTAGTGCCGTCAGCGTAGATCCGACAAGCCAGCGGCACAGGGCGATGGATGAACGGCGCCCGCGCTGCACAGAGATCCTCGGACGGCCACGCAAAGTCATCAGCACGAGCGGGAGGATGAGGTGGGGCCAGCGGGTGACTGATCCAGTCGTCGTACGTCGCAGGGCGAGATGGGGGAGAAAGCTGACCCCAAGAATGCTGTCGCAGAGAGTCCAACCACATCTGCACTGGGCGGCGGAAGGTGCGGGCAAAAAAGACTGCCGCTGGGGTATCTCCCATGAACGCTCCGCACCTGTTACGCAATGCTTGCTCGCCGTCCGATGCAGGTATCATGAACGTACTGAGATGATGCCTCTGCGTGACATAAACTTGAGACTCCTCTTTGATCGACGCCTCGACTGTACGCTGAAGGGCCTCGAACGACGTGCACCCGAACGCATTAGACATATCCTCTTTGGAAGCGACCGAAGAAATGCCCAAACGACGAAGGCACCAATGGAGGGCCTCTTGACATATAATAGACCCTTCCCTGTTGCGCCCTGGGAGATATCCGTGTTCTCTATCGGGGACCTGGTCTGAGGGGCCCTCCTGCAATTGGGCCTTGTACCGCAGAACTCCGAGACGACATAACCCGTGCACGTATCGTTTCGCACTGAACCCGAGCTCACCGTTCATTTTACTAAGACCAGTGGCCCGAGAGTGATGCCACACCAGCGGAGTCCGTCGGACCCGTCGTATGTGATGAAAGATGTGCTGGAGGCCACGGAGGGTGCTCTCATTGGAGATCTCCTCGGGGACAGACCCAAGACCGCGCCGATCGCGCCCAAGACGGTGCCGTGGAGGAGCCCACTCAGGGCCTTCAGGAGCGTCGTCGTCCGCATCGCCCTGGCGTCGTCGATGGGAGCCGTCAAACCTCCTCGCGGGGTCGGCCGCGAGCATCAAGATCTCTGTCGGTACACTATGCAGGAGCGCCGCCTTCCGTCTGGGAGCGCGCTCAAGTAAACCGACAACGCGGGCGAGATCCTCTCGCCCTTGCTCAGCCGCGAGGTAGTTGTCAGCGGAGACTGGGGGCGGAGCAGGGAGATCCTGGAGCTGCCCGTCCCGAAAGGCAGCGAAGCTATCCACAGGGAGAGCGCGAAACCCGCCAGCGGGCCCATCACGCGCGAAATACTCACGCACCTCCTCGGCCCTGGGGACAAACTCGGTGGAGCCGTTATACCGACGTTTACGTGGTCCTCGACGCTGTCCCGCCAGAAGATGGGCCAATCCCCAGACCTCGGCGTGTCGTTGTTCTTTCCAGGCCTCACGGATTTCGGTCACGAGCTGCTCGGAGACTGCATGAAGTCGGGCCCTCCGAAGCTGACGAAGGTGTCGCGAAATTCTGGAGAGGGCCATCGCCGTCGGCACGTCGTCGTCCCCGATGGATCGCTGATCCCTTCTGAGAGCAAGCAACCTCCTCCGTTCTGCCGCGCATCGTTGAGCCTGAGGGTCTTTTGTCGAGGCCTTCCCGAAAAGCCGTTCTCCTACCTGATACACCGTCGTGATCCCGCGCTGCTAGGCGTCGGGTGCCGTCGCCGTCTCCAGAAAATCTTGCCAGTCAGACTGCCCCGCAAAAGCCTCCCCTAGGTCTCTCATGACGCCCGAGACACCAGTGCCATGCCGTAAAGCTTGCGCAAGCGCATCGCAATCCCAACGGGCTCCCTCAGGTCTGGACCACGACATATCGAAGCTGTGTGAAGTGGACAGCAGTATGGGAACATGATCCTGAAGCCCTCTCTTAGCGATCAGCTTCAAGCGAAGATTCGAACGACGTAGGCCACGACAGTCGCGAATGAGAGACCTCTGCCACTGAAAAACTGCAACATGATCAATCGAACTCGAACCGCGGTGTCCGAAGAAAGTATCTCCCACGGGAAAGTCCATCGAGGGGAAACAGACGCCGTGCTTCTCACAGAGCTCCTGAACACGATCCCCTGCGTAGCGTTGCTCGCCTCTGCCGTGCACACCGAAGACCTCGGAATCGATGGGGACTACCAGAGAGCCTGGCTGACGTCGTTGCCCAAGGGAGTCATTGAGATCCATGCCCCAGAACAACGTGGAACGCGCCCGAGCCCAAGTGAAACTTTGCTCCAACCATGTGCACATGGAGTCGACCGTGCTGCGGTACTTCCTGAACGGGCTCTCGACGGATTCTCTGCCTTCTCGTCGTTGCGATGGGCGGGGAGGGAAGCAGGTTAGCGGCACCAACACGTCGAATCGGCCCGAGCGGATCCTGTGGAGGGCGACACGCCCTTGAAGATGTCGAGGCGGAGGAGGGGAGTCAACCACGTGCTTCTCTCGAAACTTTTGTCGACGGAGAAGGAGCGCCAATCCGCATGCCTTATTTACATGTCGTCCAGGTACAAATCCATGACGAATTGCGAAGTGATGAGGCAACTGACAGACGGTGCTCAACTGTTCTCCTGCTCGTTCTCCTGTGCCAGAAAGAGCGATGATATCTACATTGCGAACCTCCTCGGATATATCACAAAATCGAGTCGTATCCGCGGCCATACAGTTCCAGTGCACGAATGTGATGCGATCGCTCCCGCCATTCGACATGACAAGAAAGAGAAGCACCGTGCACAGCTTACGCAAGAAAGCACAAGACGAGAACATGCATGACTGCACGACTGCCGTGGGGGGGCAGCCCTGGCGCGAGTGCGGTAAGCAGGTGTGCTGGAGTTCCTGGCCCCCAGTGCTGGCACCTGAGCGCGCGGGGGGCTAGGAGGAGGAGGAGGAGGAGGAGGAGGAGGAGGAGGAAGAGGAGGAGGAGGAGGAGAAGAAAGAGGAGGAGACATTCAAGCGAAGCTTTCGCGCTGTGCAATCCTGCAATATCCGGCCAGATCGATGCGCACGCGGTCGCCGTACACGCTCTAACGGCTCGATCGTTGATCGTGACGGTCCTCGCAGGATCACCGATCGAGCGCGACAATGCCGTCATTGTTGTGAAATTGGAGCTGTCGCTGCACGTCCTTCTTAGCCACTGTCTGCTGGCCGAACACACTTGAAAGGCATAACGGGAGAACGGCACCTATCCTTCGAAACGCATATGTATATATATACATATATATACGGGAGTTCTACCAGAGACTGGTCATAACTTGCGCTTCAAGGTGTGGAGGTTTGTCGCAGTAGCGAGCAGGTATGATGGAGGCCAGTCCACAAGAAACCTTCCACTAGAAACCCAACACTGATACCCCAAGACGCCCATTGATTTTTGGTACGGGAGCGTCGCGCTTCCCATCGCAAAACAATCGAAACCCAAGAAACCCAGGGCACTCTAGAGGCAAGCAGGGCGTTTCTTGGCATGGGCCTCCTCTGTATGATCCCGAAAATAATGTCGAATGCCGCACCCGCTACGCACACTATCAAACACTTGGCACTAACCTTGGTCGTCTGCAGCTTCGCCTGCACCGCTGCCGAATTCTACGGCTGTCCTGCGAAAGACTTGATGTGACCGTGCAGTATCCCGATCGCCCGATGCAGCACCGATATCAACTGAGCATGGCACCTCCAACAGCCTCAACGCAATCAATGGCAAAGCAGCTCGAGCGGAAGCAGCGGGGAAGAGGGAAGAGCCTGCGGACATACCGGGTCCATGGGCAGAGCGTCATTAATGGTCGGATTTGCGGGAATCATTGCGGCGCGGAGTCGCAATCAGATTCTGGCAAGGAACACGATGGCCTCTTTCCAGTGTGCGCACACGTGTGAAAGGACGAAGTGGCGCATCCGCGTAACGAAGGCGACTGGATGGTGTAGTGTAGCGAGAACTCGTTCGCGAAAGCAGCAGCTCCCACGGCACCGCGTGCGTATTTCTGAGATCACCCTCGTGAGTGGGAACGCTGGTGGCGCTGGGCGTCGCTGAAAGGTAAAATGACAAACGCGCCCGGCGTGAAGGTCGTGTCGATCCCGTGCCGTCGATTACGACTGCGAATGCGATCGCGACAACCACGAACCGCAGGCCTCTGAATATCTCGCGGCTGCCCAGCAAGAGGTAGTCTATATATTCGCGCGACTGGGGCCAGTGATCGCGCGACCAAGGTGACCGCTTCAGCGAACAAAGGGTATCCTGCGAGGTCGCTGCGGACGAACACCGCGTCGCGGCTCTGCAAGTGAGACAAGAGGTAGCCGTGAGGGATCAGCACGCCCATGTAGGCGGACAGGGAGCAGTGCAGGTGCCTGTGCCGGAGAAGTGGAAGAGCAGAACGTGGCACCAGCAGGCGGGGGTGGAAAAGAGAGGCGGGAGGAGTCAGAGTGAGGACGACGACGGTGCACCGCATACGCATAGGGCAGGCCGGGCGCCAGGTCACCGAAAGCTCCGCGAGAAAAGCCCGCACAGAGGGCTCTCACGGGAGACCGCGCGGGGCAGCGGAGGAGAGAGGAGGCCACGGCTGGCGAGAGGGGGGCCGCACCGGGAAGGAGAGCGCGCAGGTGGGCCCCCATGGCGGACAGACGGAGACGAGAGGACCAGCGAAGGGCCCGGCTCCGCATCCCACACTCCCTTTCCCCATATGCACAACTCCTCTCCGTCGCACCCCCGGTCGCGTCGGCAGGGCGGGCCTTCAAGGGTGGAGGGCGGGCCGTTTTCAAAATGTGGCTCTTGCACTGGCGCCGCGCCCGTTCGTCTTAGAAGCGTTCCACAGTGTCAAAGATGGAGGGCGGGTCCTTTTCAGAATGTGGCTCTCGCGAAAGAGCCGCGCACATTCGCCTTAAGAGTTCGCAACAGTTTCAAGGGCGGAGGGCGGGCCGTTTTCAAAAAGTGGCTCTTGCATTGGCGCCGCGCCCATTGGTCCTAGGAGCTTTCCACAGCTTCAAGGATGGAGGGCGGGCCTTTTTCGAAATATGGCTCTCGCCTGAGCACTACACACATTCGTCTCAAAAGTTCGCAACGGTGTCAAGGGTGGAGGGCGCCCGTTTTCAAAAAGTGGCTCTTGCATTGGCGCCGCGCCCATCCGCCCAAGGAACTTTCCACACTTTCAAGGATGAAGCGCGGGTCCTTTGAAGAAGGTGGCTCTGGCCTAGCTCCGCGCACATGCGTCTTAAAGTGTGCAGCAGCTTCAAGGGTGGAGAATGGCCGTTTTCAAAATGTGGCTCTTGCATTGGCGCCGCGCCCGTTCGCCCTAGAAGCTTTCCACAGTTCCAAGGAGGGATGGCGGGCCTTTTTCGAAATATGGCTCTCGCCGTAGCGCCGCACACATGCGTCTTAAAAGTGCGCAGCGGTGTCAAGGGTTGGCTGAAATCCCAGAAGCGGTGTTTTGGCAAGATTCAGGATAGTCAGGACGCCGCAGCCACGTTGATTCGCGGTGGTAGTCCCAGAAGCGGCGTCCTGGCACGATTTCGGATTGTCAAGACGCCGCAATGACGTTGATTCGAGGTGTTGAAGTCCCAGAAGCGGTTTTCCGGCACGCGTGGAGTATATCAGACGGTTATCTTCCAATGTGGCACTTCCCGCAATGACCATGATTTCTTGTAGGGGCATATGAAAGGGGGACTTGAAGGAAAGGTTTATTGCGACATCGTTGATGCGTCTTGTATTTACTATGGTCCTCCTCCTCCTCCTCATCCCACTTCTGCTCTTTCGGCGAGAGAAAGACAGAGGGAGAGAGAGCAAAAAAGAGAGGGAAAGAGACACACAAAGGAGGAGAGAGAGAGAGAGAGAGGACCGGTGAGATGCCTAGGCAGGTAATTGGCACACGTGTGAGAAATAGTGAGAGCCGCAAGGACTACCAGCACTAGCAAATGAATCGCGATTTGAGCCTACTCAGAAGCCCTCCTTGCTTCTTCGCTATACTCGAATCATCACGATCATCACCACCACAACAATCACCATCGCCATAAACGTCGCAATTCTGGGCCCCCCCGCAAAGGGCCAATCGACTGGACAATACGACAACTCTTGAGCCAGTACCATCATCCATCGTCACTGCCATCACCATCGCCGTCACCATCACTATCACGACACCATCGTCGCCTGCATCATCACGCATCGTGAGCCTCCTGCCTCATCCTACCCTCCTCCCCCTCCTGCCTCCCTCCCTCCTTGGTTCCCTCCTTTCCTCACTCCCTCCTTTCAAATTGACTCCTCCATCCTCTCTCCTCCCTTCTTGTCCTTCCTCTCCTCCTCCTCCTCCTCATTCCTCCGCCTCCTGCTTCCTCCTGCCTCCTCCACCTCTTCCTCGTTCTCCTCCTCCTCCTCCTCCTCATCATCATCATCGTCCTCTTCCTCTTCCTTCCTTCGCCTTCCTCCCTCCTACCTCCTGTTCTTCTTCCTCCCCTGGCCACCCAACGTTTACATATGATAAATACGAATAGTTGTTTTCTCTCTCTCTCTCTCTCTCTTTCTCTCCTGACTCACTCGGGAAGATCGTCGGCTCTCTCCGCGTACTGATTTTTACACACAGACCTGGGCAATTGTATTTTGTTCGATGATTTATGTTCGATCCGAGCGCTCTCGGTGTTTCAAAATGGGCCTCATCTTCGGATCGGCGCTGTGCTCCCGCCGTTCAGACTGGCGCTCTTACCCCAGCGTGTACTTTTTCATCGTTATCGCCCCCTTCATTTCCCCTCCTCCACCTTCCCCTGGTCCTCCTGCTCCTCCCGTTCCTT